CCTATTGATAATCAGTATGGAATAAGTTTCAATCTGTACAGGTGGGAAAAACAAAAGGCATATTCTGACACTTGCTTCATCAAGCTCTACTAATCTAGTAGTTAGGAAGAAAACCAGGGAGAGGCAATATGACATCACCATCCCAAAAGCATCACATTCTTAATGATCAAGGCGCAGGAAAGAAGACATCTGCTCTTGTGCTTTGCTACTCTGCTGCTGAGTACACATGTCCAATATGGAATACATCCCGCTATGTTAAAACACTCGATGTGGCTCTTAATGAGATATGTCACATTATCACAGGATGTCTACGCCCTACACCACTGCAGCTAGCAAGCCAATGCCTTAAATAAAGAAATTGCTTCCTAAGATCTACAGAGATATTTTCAAGAACAGCTCAGCAAGGAAGAGTCCAAAAGTGGCAGGTTAAACCAGTGACTGATACCAAATGAAAAACTCCCCGCTGGGCACACAGAATACTGAGCGACTTGGAAGGAGCTGAACAGCTTTTGCTCTAACATCACTTGATGCAGAGCCAATCTTAAGAAATGGGGCTACAAAGTGGAGTCCACAACATGTGAGTGTGTAGAACAGCAAACCTCAGACCATTACTACAATGCAGTCTGAGCCCTGCCACATGAACAATGGAGGACCTTCTCACAGCAACACCGGAGACACTCCACCAGAGGCATTCCAAGTCGCCAGCCTTCTAGTCAAAGGAAGTTTAGTACAATGCCAAGTTTTTAACTTTGTTTGTGGTTTTTCTATACATTATAACTATATTCTCAATTCACTTCTGACACAATAAATAAAACAGGAAAGAAGAAATGAATGGCAGGAATTGGGAGCTGGCCTAATTTTACCTAATATATATTTGGCCTATAGATGTATATACAGTTTGTCCCTGAAATGTACTGGTTGATTATCCGTTATTTGAAGTGCATAGTTATACATACCATAACTTAATTCTCATTTATCTTAAATTGTATGTTTGAGTAGACATGTATAGGATTGCATAATGAGATGCATCACTATCTAGGATCTAGTGAAATGAAGTTTTCTTTTACATGAAGAGAAATATGCATTGCCCTAGAACCTTAAAAGGAATATGCAACACAAGTTGGGTCCTTCTTTTCCAATATGCTTGGAACCCAAAGCAGTTTGGATTTTTCAATATGTACTTACAAATGCATATATCATGAGATATTTTGAAGATGGACCACAAACGTAAATACCAAATTCATTTATATTTCATATAACCTTATACACATAGCCTAAAGGTAATTTTATACAACAATGTGTTGTGCCAAACAAAGTTTGAGTATACTGAATCAACAGAAGGCAAAGGTATCATTATCTCAGCCAACCAAGTGGACAAATTTTGGATTTTGGAATTTTGAATATGGGATGCTCAACCTTTAACTGCTTGTAATTCTTCTGATTTTTACATTTTCTTCCCCAAAATACATACATCCTGAATAGGATTATAGATTCCAATCACAGATAAGTATGGCAATATTACAAGAGAAACTTTCAGGGAGGTTTGCAACCCTATGCTTTGATAAGACAAGCAATGCAAAGCAGGGACAATAATCTAAATCCCTTACATAAAATTGTAATTCAGGACAGTATTTGAAAAGTAAAACTAAAGGTTCAGTCTAGTCGTGTCTGACTCTGGGAGGTGGTGCTCATCTCCATTTCTAAGCCAAAGAGTCAGTGCTCTCCATAGACACCTCTAAGGTCATGTGGCCAGCAATACTGCATGGAACACCATTACCTTCCTGCTGGAGTGGTACCTATTGATCTACTCACATTTGAATGTTTTCAAACTGCTAGGTTGGCAGAAGTTAGGACTACCAGAAGGTGCTCACCCCGCTCCCTGGATTCAAACCACTGACCTTTTGATCAGCAAGTTCAGCAGTTCAGCAGTTTAACCCCTGCTGTATTTAATCAGAGTATTCATAACTCTGATTAAATACTATTAAATCGATTTGGCAATGGAATATGATGGCTGAGAGTTTGTTGGAGTCTTCTCCATAAGTTTTTAAGCAGAAGCTGAATATCAATTTGTCATGGGTGCAGGCCCATAGCCAGGATTTTGCTTCGGTGGGGGGGGGGGGGCTGAGTTTGATTTGGGGGGGGGGGCTGAGTCTGAGTGAAAGAGGGTCTACCCTAGCAAACCTTTTGTATCGTTCCCCCAATACCCCCATGCATATGGGATATATTATAGTTTTGCTAAGGGCAAGGACAGGCCCGTAGCCAGGATTTTGATTCGGGGGGAGCTGAGTTTGATTCGGGGGGGGGGGGGGGGCTGAGTCTGAGTGAAAGAGGGTCTACCCTAGCAAACCTTTTGTATCATTATCCCAATACCCCCATGCATATGGGATATATTGAGCATGGTGATCAGATCATGATATGAATAAACATAACAGTTTAAATAATCTACCAGTAAGGCCTTCTCGCGGACCACCATGAGAATTTCGGGGGAGGGGGCCTGAAGCCCCCTCAAGCCCCCCCCCCAAGGCTACATGTCTGTTGGAGGGTATGAATCTTCTGTGTTCTTGTTAGTTGCCAGGATTTCGATTCGGGGGGGGGGGCTGAGTTTTTTTCAGGGGGGTTTTGGGGGGCTGAGTTTCGGGGGGGGGGGTCTGAGTGAAAGAGGGTCCCTAGCAAACCTTTTGTATCATTACCCCAATACCCCCATGCATATGGGATATATTGAGTATGGTGATCAGATCATGATATGAATAAACATAACAGTTTAAATAATGCACCAGTAAGGCCTTTTCGCGAACCCCCCCCCCCCCCCCCCCGCTACATGTCTGCACACAGCAGAGTGAGGATGGACTGGATGGCCCTTGAGATCTCTTCCAAATTTACTAGTCTATGAGTTTTTAAGATACGTATTGAAGACTCATAGACAAGTAGAGTTAGAAAAGATCTCAAGGGCCATCCGTCCATCACCATATATATGATTTGAACCACTGATGTTTCAGTCAGTAAGTTCAGCAGCTCAGTGTTTTAACCTGCTGCGCCACTGGGGTCTCATAATATTCATAACTCAGACTAAATACTTATTATTCAATTGATTTGGCAGTGGAATATGGCTGAGAGCTTGTTGGAGTCTTCTCCAGAGGTTTTTAAGCAGAAGCTGGATAGCCATCTGTCGGGGGTGGTTTGGTTGTATTTTCCCGCATGGCAGAGTGGGGATGGATTGGATGACCCTTGAGATATCTTCCAACTCTACTAGTCTATGAATCTTCCATATATATATATATATCGAAGACTCATACATTAGTAGAGTTGGAAGAGATCTTCAGGCCATTCGTCCATCCCCGTATATATACATATCCCTCCATCTATCTTTCTATCTATATATATATATAGACTAGCCACCCCCTGCCACACATTGCTGTGGCCCAGTTTGTGTACATGTGTTTGTGTGTGTATATATTTATGTATGTGTGTATATATGTGTGTTTGCGTGTGTGTGTGTGTGTGTGTGTGTGTGTGTGTGTATGGTTTTCTGCATGCATCGTATTTTTCATTTTTTGGCTTTTTAAGTCTTTTCTGCTGTGTTTTTCAGTATTTTTATGAGTGGCGGTCACTCGTTGGCCTGATAAGTGTGTTGTTGTTGTTGTTCATTCATTCAGTCGTCTCCGACTCTTCGTGACCTCATGGACCAGCCTACGCCAGAGCTCCCTGTTGGCCGTTACCACCCCCAGCTCCCTCAGGGTCAGTCCAGTCACTTCAAGGATGCCATCCATCCATCTTGCCCTTGGTCGGCCCCTCTTCCTTTTGCCTTCCACTTTCCCCACAATACACTGGTAAGTGTATTGTGTCCAAATTTGGTGTCAATTCATCCAATTGTTTTTGATTTATGTTAATTCCACAAATGAACATTACATTTTATTGATATAGATATAGATAGTGAGTATATATTCAAACACACACGCACTTAAGTCTTTGAATGCTCACCATATATCTGGCATGGACAAACTTGGGCCATAGGCTGTTAGGAATGGTGGAAGTTGAAGTCCGAAACCCTGGGCGTTTTTGGACTTCAACTCCCACCATTTTGGACTTCAATTCCCACAATTCCCAACAGCGAATTGTGAGAGCTGAAGTCCAAAACACCCTGAGGACCCAAGTTTGCCCATACCTGACATATATGGAGGGACACTCTGCATCACTGCTTCTTAAACGGTGGGTCCCTTTTGCTCTACGTTGGGGGTGACGAATGAAATGCCCATTAAGGCGACTGAATGCCAACCAATGGCACGAATCTGCTAGCGACAACGTGCAGTGTTGACAGCGGACTCTGCACAAAATGCTTCCAGGAGAAGGCAAATCAGCCTGTTTCACAAGCTTTGCAGATGCTGATTTGTTCTGTTTTCATACCTCTGTGATTTGCCTATATGCCTGGGATCCCGCACAGGAGGAAAAAAGGGGAGGCGAGTGGGACTAAAGTTGGAGCATCCCTGGTGTAGATGAGGCACGGAGCGCAGCCCCCCGCCAGCCTCTTCCCCTTGCTGCAGACAGGCACCCAGGCAGGAGGGGGATTTTGCGAACTTGCTGCAGTGCGATACGGAGCGAGAAGCAGGAGAGCGCGGAGCGGCGGCGCGTTCAAAGGGGAAAGAGACCCAAACACGTCCCCCTTTCCCCGTCCCCTCCGGCTGTGGATGCCCAGCAAGGGCGCGCCTGCGTGGGAGGCGCCTCCACCCCACGCCCGCCTTCGCAGTGGGTCGCGCGGGGCTCGAAGCCTCTGCCGCGCAAAAAAAAAAAAGCCACCCAAGGCTTCCCCTCACAGCTTTGGGGGAAATGAGGCAAACGCGCGTCCCTTCAGCCTCCCGCTCCGTCTTAGCCAGGATGAAAGGGCAGCCAAGCATCCTCCTCCATCCCTCCTTCGCTGCTTCCCTTCCTTGACCAAATCCCTTCAAAACAGCTGAGCTCCCCCCCTCCCACTCCGCCAGAGTCGAGTCACAATGCCATTGCGTTACCTGTTGTCCACACCAGCTGTGCTCCCCTCTCTCTCCAGCTTCGCCTCCGTGTGTTGTCAGGCGCTTGGGTCCAAAGCAAGTGGGGTTGGTGTGCGCGCGCGACGCCTCCTCCCGCTCTCGCGCCCTTCTGTGCCGAAAGGAGGGGAGCTCCGCCACCGTCTTTTGGTTTGTCGTCCCGTCCCCCCCCCGCCGTCCCCCGCACTGCTTAACTCTTCTGACTGAGTCGATGCGTCTCTCTCCGAAGCGCCCAGTCCAAGTCTAGAGAAGGGAAAGGCTGCGCCTCAAGTTTCACGCGCTTCCCTCCACCTCACTGACCCCCTTGGTTTGAACGCGTGGTTGTCTTCAGTGGGCGGCCCTCAGCCTCTGCCCTTTGCCCACCGGTGGGGCTGGCAGGGCGGGCTTTGATGCTTAGGGAGGCTGACCCTGGGTGCCACGTTCACACAACCTGTACAGCCAACGGAAAGTCTAAACACAGCCTTCAGTGGGGAGGAAGTCTACACACAACACTAGATAGGGAGAAAAGCTCAACCCAAGATACTAAAGGGAGAGAGTCAGAGGAACAATATTCAGTGGGGAGGAAATCTGAACACAACATTCAATGGGGAGGAAGTCTCAACACAACATTCAATGGGGAGGAAATCTGAACACAACATTCAATGGGGAGGAAATCTGAACACAACATTCAATGGGGAGGAAGTCTCAACACAACATTCAATGGGGAGGAAATCTGAACACAACATTCAATGGGGAGGAAGTCTCAACACAACATTCCTTGGAGAGGAAGTCTCAACACAATGTTCAATGGGGAGGAAATCTGAACACAACATTCAATGGGGAGGAAGTCTCAACACAATGTTCAATGGGGAGGAAGTCTCAACACAATGTTCAATGGGGAGGAAATATGAACACAACATTCAATGGGGAGGAAGTCTCAACACAATGTTCAATGGGGAGGAAATCTGAACACAACATTCAATGGGGAGGAAGTCTCAACACAATGTTCAATGGGGAGGAAATCTGAACACAACATTCAATGGGGAGGAAGTCTCAACACAATGTTCAATGGGGAGGAAATCTGAACACAACATTCAATGGGGAGGAAGTCTCAACACAACATTCCTTGGAGAGGAAGTCTGAACATAACATTCTATGGCAGTGTTTCTCAACCTGGGGGTAGGGACCCCTGGAGGGGTAGCCAGGAGGTGCCACAGGGGTCACTAAAGACCATCAGAAAACACAGTATCTTCTGTTGTTCATGGGGGCTCTGTGTGGGAGGTTTGGCCCAATTCTATCATTGGTGGGGTTCAGAATGCTTTTTGATTGTAGGTGAACTATAAATCCCAGCAACTACAATTCCCAAATGCCAAGGCCTATTGTCCTCACACTCCACCAGTGTTCACATTTAGCATACTGAGTATTCGTGCCAAGTTTGGTCCAGATCCATCATTGTTTGAGTTCATAGTGCTCTCTGTAGGTGAACTACAACTCCCAAACTCAAGGTCAATGCCCACCAAACCCTTCCAGTGTTTTCTGTTGGTCGTGGGCATTCTGTGTGCCAAGTTTGGTTCATTTCCATTGTTGGTGGAGTTCAGAATACTCTGATTGTAGGTGAACCATAAATCCCAACAACTACAACTCCCAAATTATGTTTCATAACAGGAGCAAAATTATAGTTATGAAGTAGCAAAAGAATGCTATGGTTGGGGGTCACCACAACATGTGGAACTATTAAGGGGTCGCGGCATTAGGAAGGTTGAGAAACACTGTTCTATGGGGGAAAAGACTAAACACAACAAAGTCTAAACACAAGATTTGATGTGGAGGAAGTCTGAACACAACATTCCATGAGTAGGAAGTCCAAACACAAGATTGGATAGAGAGAAAACCTAAACACAAGATTCAATAGAGAGGAAGTCTCAACACAACATTCAATGGGGAGGAAGTCTCAACACAATGTTCAATGGGGAGGAAATCTGAACGCAACATTCGATGGGGAGGAGGTCTCAACACAACATTCCATGGAGAGGAAGTCTGAATATAACATTCTATGGGGAGAAGGTCTAAACACAAGATTTGATGAAGAAGGAAGTCTAAACACAACATTGGATTGGGAGAAAATCTAAACACAAGATTCAATGGGAAGAAAGTCTAAACACAACATTCCATGAGGAGGAAATCTGAACACAACATTCCACAGGGAGGAGGTCTAAACACAAGATTTGATGGGAAGGAAGTCTAAACACAACAAAGCCTAAACACAAGATTTGATGGGGAGTCTGAACACAACATTCCATGAGAAGGAAGTCCGAACACAATATTGCATAAGGAGAAAATCAAAACACAAGATTCAATAGAGAGGAAGTCTTGATGCAACAGTTAATGGGGAGGAAGTCTAAACATAATGTTCCATGAGGAGGAGGTCTAAACACAACATTCAATGGCGAGGAGGTCTAAACACAAGATTTGATGGGGAGGAAGTCTGAACGCAACATTCCATAAGAAGGAAGTGCGAACACAACATTAGATAGGGAGAAAATCTAAACACAAGATTCAATACAGAAGAAGTCTCAACACAACATTCAGTGGGGAGGAAGTCTAAACACAATATTCCATGGGAGGAAGTCTGAACACATCATTTGATGGGGAGGAGGTCTAATCACAAGATTTGATGGGGAGGAAGTTCAAACACAACATTTGATGGAAAGGAAATCTAAACACAACATTCAGTGAGGATTAAGTTTACACCAATGTTTCCCAACCTGTAGTCCATGGACTACCAGTGGTCCACAAGCACTAAAATATGGTCCACAGCCTCACCATTACTACACTGTTGCAATGAGAGTGACTGGTCTCGCAAAACCCTCTTATAGTGCTGAAACTTATTAAATACGGTTTTCTGTGGGTGAGCAGATGGCGACTACCAGACGGAATATGTTCTGTATCAGAAATTAGAGCTTATGTGGTCTATCCAATGCTATTTTCTGAATCAGCACCCCAAACAACCACATCAAATCTAAATTTGACCAAAAACCTTTGGTACTAATGTTGGAGAGTGGCCCCTGGTCAAAGTGGTCCATGGTCAAAAAAAAGGTTGGGAACCACTGGTCTACTGACATTGGATAGGGAGAAAATCTAAACAAGATTCAATAGAGAGGAAGTCTAAACACAACATTCAATGTAGAGGAGCACTAAACAGCTTGTGGATTTCCATGACCGGGCTAGGTTTCAAACGCTGATCTCCAGAGTAATAGTTCAATGCTTAAGCTACTTACACAATGCTAATTGACATATACATGTATCATGAGTTTGGGGCCCAGTTCTAAAAACATAAATTGTTCATGCTTCACTCTATAGAATGTGACTTTTTGGGTCAAGTTGATTCAATATAACTTTGTAGTTCAACAAACACAATCCTATAAGCCATTACTCAGGAATAAGTCCTATTGCATTTACAGGCAATTGCATCCAAATAAATATGTATACCAGGCAAGGGTGGGAATTATTCAACCCTTCAGATGGTTTCAGTTCCCAGAACTGGCAATACTGGAAATTGCAGTTCAACAACTTCAAGAGGGCTGCATAATTTTTGGCCCTGGTATACAAAATAGCCGCTGTAACCAGATTGGCTTCCTCATAAGTCAAATGTAACATGGATCTGGTCAAGAACATTCAAACATTTGTTGACTTTCCTGTGCTTCATATAAAAATTGCTACTTCACAATGTGCTTGGTAATATTGTTATAGGTTTATAACCATATTTTGGTTGGTACAGTCTATCTGCCTTTATTTAAGGTTGTTAGATCAGTAGAGTAGTCTAGCTAAAGTTCAGCCCTTTTAAATCCATATAATCTCAGAAAGAAATGTAGGGCTTAATTTTGGTTGGATCTGTCCAATCATTGTTTAAACTCTATGGTAGCTCACAAAGGTTAATTGTTCTAAACCAGCCAATAGCACTTGAATAATAATGATTTCTATGAATAGTGTTGTGCATTTCCAAAGTTTATTTTACAATTGGAAAGTTGCAGCCAAAGCACTCAAGACAAACTAAGGCTTAGAAGGAGAAAGAAGACAGGAAGAAGAAAAAGAGGAAGAGGACGAAGAGGGAGAAGATTTATTTTAGCAGAACTTCAAATGCAGTCCTTAAACCTGTGCATGAAGCATTTTATCTAACTTCTTGATTGTTTAGAAATATGACTGTTAGCCCACAAACATTTTTTTAGAAAGCAAAACCTCTTGTAGACAATTCTGGATTTTGGAATATTTTAGTAAATATGGCAGACATGAAGAGTCTTGCTATTACTTTTAAAAGAATAAAAGTTGGATAAAATGTTTTATTAGTTATTATTGCTATAAAAATATGAGAAAGGGATGTTATATGTTTTAATTTGTTTCATTGCCTTATGTTTTTTATTTGCTTATATGTTTTAATTATTTTATAGTTAATAGGGTATTTTTATGGTTATATTGGTTTTATTGCAATGTGTATGTTACAGCATTGAATTCTTGCCGGATTTTGTAAGCCACCTTGAGTCCCCTGAGGGGTGAGAAAGGCAGCGTGTAAATTAAGTAAATAATAAATAAATAAATCTATTATTTAAACACAGTTACCTGGTAATGTAGAAAGTAATTATATTATGAATCACTTATTGCAACTTCTAATAGAATTGGAAGGTCACCATAATTGTTATGTACTTTAAGTCAGCTGCAACTAATGGCATTACTCTCATAGGATTTCTTAGTGATTTTTCAGAGGTAGGTCACTATTGTCTTCCTCTTAGGCTGGATCTATACTGCCCCATATCCCAGGATCTGGTCCCAGGCTATCAGGGCCTTCTCAGCTGTGGCCCCCTGCCTGTGGAACATGCTTCCAAATGAGATAAGATCGGCTTCATCCCTCCTGGCTTTCAGGAAGAAATTGAAATCGTGGTACTGGGACCAGGCTTTTGGACAGCAGACATAATTAGCACTTTGGTTGGAAACTGACTGGAATGGCGATACAGCTGATGATACTGTTTTATTGTTTTAATTAATGCTTCATGTATTGTTTTAATTAATACTTTTTGTATTTTAATTGTTGTAGTAGTATTGTAATTGTTTATATGTAGCGGCATCAAATCATTGCCAAATGTAAGCCGTCCTGAGTCCCCCTTCGGGGGT